CTCAAGGATGACCGTAGGAGACAGTGGTTCCCCACTTTTTGGCATCAGGACCCGTTCCTGGGAGAAAAATTTTCCATGGACAGGGTGGTGGGGATGGTTTTGGGTGAAACTGGTTCATCTTCAGTATCACTCAAGCATTAGAGTTTCATGGGAAGAGGTACACAGTCTAGATCCGTTTAATGCCCAGTTACATTGGCTTGTTGCTGCTCTGAGAATCGAATGCAACTGGCTTATGCTGGAAGGAGCCGAGCTCAGGTGGTAATGTCCGCTTGCCATCACTCACCTCCTGTTTTGCATCGGGCTTTCCTGATTACGGGCCCATGGGGACTAGTAACTGGGTCTGTGGCCCGGGGTGGGCCCCCGAATTAATTCAAACTGTCCTTGTCGGTAGAATTCACTTTAACCTTCTCCATCTTATTATTTTCATCTGACCAAAAATACTTCCATTATAAAGAACGATGAAACAAGAGAATACATCAGAGAAGTTAATTTAAAACATTGTAGTTCTAAATTTGAATTGAAAGTAACAGTATAAATTCAGTATAAACTGAAACATTGGAAAAGAAATTTTAAGACAACTAGAAATGTGAACACTGACTGGATATTTGGTAATATTAAAGAATTATTGCTAAATCTCTTGGGTATGATAATGATATCATAGTTGTGTGGTTTTTTTTTTTTTAACAGTCTTTATCTTTTAGAAAACCATACAAACGTTTTCAAATAAAATGATATGATGCCTGAGATTCTCTTAGAAATACTGCAGGAGTGGAGGAAGCAGGTGTTGAATTTGGATAATGGGTATGTGAGTGTTAACAGTACTAAACCGTCTCTCTCTGTATGCTTCTACTCCTTCTGCATCTCAATTTTGTTAATTTTCAATAGGGCCAATAATAACAGTCATAAGATTATTATATGTATGTATACATATGAGTGTGTGTGTATATACATATACACACACACACTGAAGTAGCTTGAGTATGACTGGAGAGTCATACTTGCCTAGCGGCTCAACAATGTTTTCCTCCAGAAACTCTCTTCATATGTTTTTGCAAATTAAGATACTTAATTCTCTTGCTTTCAAATAATCTTAATTGTTTTGCTTTCCACTATCATAGGGTTTCCCACCACAGATTCACCTCATCCTCCTCTTTCATTCATAGAAAGCAGGTTGAATCAGATTGAATGTGAATAAAGAGAATCAAATTAGACAGCAATCCAAAAGGAAGTCAATTAGACATGTCATTTTGAGGGGTAGAAGAAGTGGTAAATGCTGGCTTATTGTATTAGTCCATTTTCAAACTGCAATGAAGAAATACCCAAGGCTGGGTAATTTATAAAGAAAAAGAGGTTTAATGGACTCATATTTCCATATGACTGGGGAGGCCTCACAATCATGGCAGAAGGTGAAGGAGGAGAAAAGCACGTCTTACATGGCGGCAGGCAAGAAAGCATGTACAGGGGAACTGCCCTTAATAAAACCATCAGATCTGGTGAAACTTATTTACTGTCATGAGAACAGCATGGAAAAAAACCCACATCCATGATTCAATTACCTCCCACCAGGTCCCCACCATGACACACGGGGATTATAGGAGCTACAATTCAGCCAAACCATATCACTTACTTTTTTAGTTTCTAAGGAACGTACTGTTTATTACTAGTCTTCAGTACTAGAGAAAAACCTTTGACCATCATATAGCATAAGATAGCCCTAATTCTTCTGTGCATCTGGGGAAATGTTACTTCTGCAATCTCTAATATGCAAAAGGCTGAGGAACATTACTGTGTCTCTTGTTACACTTCCAGAATTTTCCGTCTAATCCCTTGAGTTACCAGCAGTTAGCATTCATTAAGAAGTCAAGGCCAGGCATGGTGGCTCATCCCTGTAATCCCAGCACTTTGGGAGGCTGAGGCAGGTGCCTTGCTTGAGCCCAGGAATATAACACCAGCATGGGCAACGTGGCAAAATCCTATCTCTACAAAGCGGGGAGGATCACCTGAGCCTGGGGAGGTTGAGGCTGCAGTGAGTCGTTATCGTGCCACTACACTCCAACCTGGACAACAAAGTAAAGAAAGTTAATACCTGAAACAAGTTTCTGAGGGCTAACTTCAGTCCACTAATGTAAACAATAATAATAATAATAATAATAATATAAATTATTTCCATTTTATGTATAGGAAAACTAATGTTAAAGAAGGTTAAATAACTTTTCCAAGAAATTCAATGACCAGTGAGAAACAAAGCCAGGATTCAACCCCGATCTCGCTTGATTCAATGTCCATGCTCTCCGCCATGCTCACAGACCTCCTTCAAACTTAGAGAAGCTACTCCAGGGAAGTGCACACCATGTTCTCTCTTTAAATGCATGACCACAAATTCTCAGTAGGTGCTCAACTCTGCTGGGAAATCCTGCTACACTCCTCTATTTAGGTCAGTCCCTCTCTATTATCTATCATTTATAATAAATAAAAATCACAACACTGCCCTTTGCCACACATCTCCCTCCAACTACTGCCCCATTTCTCTGCTCTCCTTCATAGCAAAATTTCTTGAATGAATAGCCTCCTTTTCCTTCCTTCCTTTTCTCTGCTCCCCTACTGCAATGAGGCATCCATCTCACAATAGAAATTGCTAATGTCATAGGCTCTAATGACCCCCATCTTCCCAAAGTTAGTGCAAGATCTTCTCAACCAACATCAACCACTCTCAACACAGTTGATCATACCCTCCTTGAAACTCTCATCTCTTAGACTCCATGACACCAAGCCTTGGTGCACCTAGGCAGGAATGAGGGTTGGGTGAATTCAGGGCATAGAAAGAAAACCAGTGTGGCTGGAGGGTGCAGAGTGATGGGAGAGCAAGATGAGGTATTTGAGGTGCTAAGGAGACATAGCATCATGTGAAAATCTAAAAGGTGAAGGGAAGAGTTTGCGAGGCTTTAAGGGGATTTTAAGCAGGTGACCAGTGTGCTCTTCAAAGGTCACTCCAGCTGTTTGGCAAGTGGACCATGCAGGCAAGAGAGTAGGAACAGGGACAATTAGAAGGCTCATAATAAATTCTAAAGAAGTGTTTGTTGGCTTGAATTAAATTGGGAAGAAGAAGGAGGGCACCAGTAAGCAGAAATGTCTGGAGGACAGAAACAGAGCCAAAGACTGAAACTCCAGGCAGCAGATAAAGTGCTCTAGGAATTAGTGAGGGGACAGTCTCACCCGTGGGATTCAGCCCAGTTTCCAGCAAATCCAGGAAATTGCCAAATGAGGCCCCCTGTCCAGAGGTGGCCGTGGAGTCCAGTTGCTCCTCTAAGTGGGGAGTAAACTGTCTTCTTCAGCACCTGCAATTCCTATCAAGTAATGTTCGGCAGTAGGGAGAATTTGACTCATTATCTTCCACTGTATCTGTCATGTCACATTACTCCTAGGGCCCTGACAGAACACTCTAGAAGCATGATGCATTATGACTTGACACCAGTTACCCAGTGCTGTACCTCATTAGAGGGAGCAGGGAAGGCGTGAGCTAGGGGTAACCCGCTTTGTACTATCCCAACTCTCTCCATGACTTCATTAGTCTCTTGATCTTTTTGTGGTTGTCATTAGGGGCTCAGAGTTTTATGTCCTGGTCAATTTCCAAATGACAGCTTTTAGTGTCAAAGTGATCAAGGAGAGTTGCTTTCCCCTCCCCCTGTGACAGCGGCAGACAATCACAGGAAATTGATCATGTTGGATAAACTCACCTGATCCTAAAAATGATATTGGCTTCGTGCTCCAGGGCAGGGCAAAAACAACTGAAAAATAATTGCCAGTACACCCCAGAGGGAAATTCCTTCCCTTCCCCAAATTTGACAATCAATCTAATCCAGTACACGTGACTAAAAATCACTGCTGTAAAGAACGTAATTCCATTTACACACCAAAGACGCCATGGCAGTTTGGTTTGAATAGGGGATCATTTTGTCTAGGCTTTTATTTTTCTTCATGAGAGACTATATTTGCAAGACTGGCAAGGACATACAATACTAAAATAACAATCACATTTAGGACAAAATAAGCATGTCCTGATGCATGTTCTTACCAATCTTAGATTAACTTGTCTTTAGCCGTGTTTTGATCATTCCTTCTCAATTTCTAAAAACATTCCAAAAACAAAAACTATATGTATCATTGCAATGTTCTTTTCCACCTAGTCTCAGAGTTAAATGTGCTAGCTATCTTCAGAAAACACTCAAAACACTCAACATTTTGTGTTACTTTAGGCTTTTATAAACGGAAAGTTTCCAGATGGGTTTATTCATCTCTCTGGAAGTGAGGAATCAACCTGACCAATATGATTCAGAGAGAGAGAAAGAGACTTTCTGTAACCAGGAAAAACAGTTTACATTCCTTTACATTTAAACTCCAGATGCAACCAGGCTTTGAATTTTTATATTCCTTGAATTCTTAGGGAAGTACTGGGGAAGGCACTTGGGTAAAGTTGCTCTCTAAATTAGTATGAGAGCGTTCATTTAGAGGTTGTGACCCTATAGTGCGTGCTTCTGTCTTGAACATATTCAGCTAAATATGGCATGTCTACTCATCACTTAAGAGTACCTGGCTGGGTGCAGTGGCACACTCCCGTAACCCTAGCACTTTGGGAAGCCAAGGTGGGCAAATCACTTGAGCCCAGTTGTTCGAGACCAGCCTGGGCAACACAACAAAACCCCATCTCTACAAAAAATAAAAATAAAAAATAAAAAATAAAAACGAGTACCCAATTTTCTACAACAATATGGGCTGGTGCTCATTTGTATGTTATTAGAGTCTGTTTGATTTGTTGTTTTTCTTCTGAAACCTCTGCTCTCTCCCTAAGTCCTTCAAGGTCCAGAGGTCCTCACCTGCCATGCACCCGCCTCAGGGCCACCCACTATGCCAGTTTGCCACCATGCCTCCTTTTTTTCCAACTAGGAAAATGGTCTTGATTAGTGTATAAGAAACCAAACTATTTGGGAAAAAAAAAGCCAGAGTTCTAGCAAATGAACCAGGATTAAATTTCAGAACTGTGTTTCCTAGACTCTACAAAATGTAGTTGGAAGGAGATTCAGTAGCCAATAAACATACAAGAAACTCTGAAAGTGTTCAGCAAGGAGGTGAGTTGATAAAGGACAAGGGAGACATCAGAAGACACATGACAAGCTTGCCCAATGTCATCCAACAACAGCATCTAACTATAAGCAGTATGTCAGTAATATTTCCCATCCACAAAATATGGTCTGTTTTTATATCCACGTATCTATCTATTTATTTACTCACAAGATGAATGTATGTGTTTTTCTTCACATTTTCCTGAAGATATCAAAGGCCATAAAACTTAGAAAGTAAAAACTACAAATGAAAATTATGTGGTGTACATGTTTTCTGGATTTGTTTTAGAGGGCTTAATAGGCAAATATTTTTGTCAAATGAAGGTTAAATTTACTTGGATATAGGGTGATCTAAGAGCTCAGAATGAATGGAGCTGTCACCTAGTTAGGCAGCGTGGACTCAGGCAGGATCCTAGCTCTAGTATTGATTTCTTGTTGTAATTCTTTGGGTAAGCTTCTACTCCTTCTGCATCTCAATTTTGTTAATTTTTACTGGGGCCAATAATAACAGTCATAAGATTATTGTAAGGATTTAGTAAAACAGTATGTGTCAAGCAACAAGCATAGTTCCTAGCATACCTTAGGTGATCAATGACTAACTAGTTCTTTCCCCTTTTACCTCCAGTTAGATTTTAGACATATACAACAATCTAGGTTTATAACGTTTTTTAGAAGTCCGTACTTACATTGTAGTATAATCTGTAATCAGCTTGAATATAACTATGAGATGTTTTTCCTTCATTCTAGATTCAGGTTTATGTCTTCCTCTTGCTTATTTGAGGACTAAAGTCAAAATGTCTATACCATCCTGTATAGCCACGTATGGGTCTTGAGCACTTGAAAAGTGACTGGTCCAGCTTCAAATGTGCTGTAAGTATAAAAACACACCAGATTTCAAAGACTTAGAACAAAAGAGAGAATGCAAAATATCTCATTAAGTTTTATAGTGATTGATTACTTTTATTATTATTATCATTATTTCAGAGAAAGAGCCTCTGTCTTTCTCCCAGGTGGGAATTCAGTGGTATGATCGTGGGCTCACTACAGCCTTGAACTCCTGGGCTCAAGCAGTCCTCCCACCTCAGCCTCTTAAGTAGCTAGAACTAGTGCCACCACACCCAGCTAATTTATTTTATTTTTAGTAGAGACAGGGGCTCACTATGTTGCTCAGGCTGGTCTTGAACTCCTAGCCTCAAGATATCTTCCCACCCTGGCCTCCCAAAGTGCTGGGATTGCAGGCATGAGCCACCACACCTGGCACATTTTTTAACGACAATATTTTCTGTATAGTGGGTTGAATCAAATCTATTATTAAAATTACCTTCACCTATTTCTTTTTCCCTTTTTAGTGTGGCTACAGGAAAATTTAAAATTATATATGTATTTCATGTTATATTTCTATTAAACAGCATTAGTCTAGAGAGTAAAGACCCAGAGATATCCCAAATAAATCTCGAAAGGTGGGGCTGAGTGTGGTGGCTCACACCTGTAATCCCAACACTTTGGGAGGCCGAGGCGGTCAGATCACTTGAGGTCAGGAGTTCAAGACAAATCTGGCCAACGTGGTGAAATCCCATCTCTACTAAAAATACAAAAATTAGCTGGGCAGGGTGGCAGGCACCTGTAATTCCAGCCACTCGGGAGGCTGAGGTAGGAGAATCACTTGAACCCTAGAGGTGGAGGTTGCAGTGAGCCAACATCACGCCACTTCACTCTAGCCTAGGTGACAGAGCAACACTCCATCTCAAAAAAAAAAAAAAAAAGAGATCTCAAACAGTGAGCGTTGACCATGTTCACCAACAGCCCAAGGGCCAAACTCAGAATTCAGAGTCCACAAACTTAGTGAGCTCAGTCCTCCTGTTGCTTTATGTCTGGCTTAGCTGACCACTCCCCTTCGGTTCCTGCTTTTTCTGACGATGAGAAGTAACCCACCACTGCAGGAAAAGAGCTAAACCAGGGCTATCAATCTAAATGAACCATACTTCCAGTGTTCAGTAGCACAGGTGATTAATGGGGACTGCACTGGGCAGCCCAGTTCCAAAGAACAACACCCTCATATCTTCCTGACTATAATAAGATAGTTCCCTCTGGTGAAATTGGGGTGGATTTTTACAATAGAAATATAGCCTCCCCCAAAAGAACCAAGCTCAAGATATTCCCCTAATCTTAACCAAGCCTTACATTTTTATGCGTTAAGATTACAATAAGGCCTGGCGCAGTGGCTCAGGCCTGTAATCCCAACACTTTGGGAGGCTGGGGCAGGCAGAGAGCTTCATCTCAGGAGTTCAAGATCAGCCTGGGCAACATGGTGAAACACCTTCGCTACAAAAAGCACAAAAGTTAGCTGGGCGTTGCGGCGCATACCTGTAGTCCCAGTACTCAGGAGGCTGAGACAGGGAGATCACTTGAGCCCAGGAGGTCAAGGCTGCAATGAGCCAAGACTGGGCCACTGCACTCCAGCCGGGGTAACACAGTGAGAGCCCATCTCGAAATTTGAAACAGTTACAATAACACCTTTAACTCAAATACTAGCCTCAATTTAATAGTTTAGGTTTGGCCTGGCAATGAGAAGAGTTGGTCTCATAATAGGCTTATAAAAGACTGATGGCCTAAGAGAAAGCAACCGAATTGCTCATTTGCTACTAGGTGCTGGATGTTTAATTTTAACCCTTGAAGAATTCAGAGGCACACACCTCGACTAATTGAACACTGGGTATGGAACATAGAAAACAGTGGCCACATAGGAGTTTGAATCAAAAGGACTTTTTTAGGTTAAGTTGTTATTCTTGCCTTTCACTGAATGACAAAATATTTTTTTAAATCATGAAACACCATGCAGTGTGTATCTCAGGTGTCTAAGGCCCCATTAGTAGACCAGTTGTATTATGGAATGGTGTGTGATCTACAAAACCACACTGGCTTATTTTACACTGAAGATTGTACATAGGATTTTTAAAGTGACACCTTTAAAATACTGGGGAAATAAAGATGAATGCTTTCCATATAGAATTCTGAAAACTAATTTTTGCAAGGGCATTAATTATTATTCTGGGATAAATGCAATTTGAGATTTCCCCACCCCCAAAGAAAGAAGGCTCAAGTGGAGCTCGTGGTCAGGGAGAATGGGGGAGCTGTCATGAACTCGCCAGAGTTATGCTCATGTGTTATGCTCAGAACACTAACCATTTCTCTTCGTTCCTTGATTTGACCAGACATCTTAAATTGATTTATCCACTTCATAAAATGTGCTCCCTTTAGAAAAGCAAATCTGCGCTTTTTAAAGAGCAAATGTCACTTAGTTGAGTTGTTGGACCACACGAGAAGCACAATGGCAGGAGCAGTGGAATTAGGAAAGCCGTCCTCTCTTTCTCTCAATTCTACCCAAATAACCATGAACTAATTATTCAGCCCCTCTCAGTCTCTGTTTCCCATTAGTAAACTGAAAGCAATGACTGCAGCTCTCCTTACCACACAAAGACGTCTGGATGGCTAGCAGAAATGACAGCATGGCTCCTTCCTCTACTTCGGGCACACAGGGGATAAGGACTTGACTACTGATTCCATCCCCTAATCCCCCTCCTTCTCCTACCACCCCATGCAGCTAAGAGCAGAGAAATAGAAGACAGTTCTGTACAGCAGGACTCAAAGGAAAAAGTAGTTAACTGAAAGCAATTAATTCTTGGTGGTTTTGAGAAAACCCAGAACTCCTAGCTAACTTGATCTAGCTTCGTAAGTCACTAAAAGCCCAGTGCCTTTTGTCTCCAGCACTGTACCAGCCTCCAGAGGAAATGCAAGAGATCTTCCAGACCTGATCACCATACCATATTTATAATCTTGCCATGGAGAAGACATCCACTCATGAAGCCAGCAGAACAGATGTGGGCAACTTTCAAAAACAAAGTAACAAATGGTCAGCTCCTGTTATTCTGTAGTGCTAAGGATGGAAGGAGAAAGAGTGAGTAAAACATACGCCTAATGCCATACGTGGCTGACAAAGTGTAGCGGGGTTTGCACAGGCCAGCTCTTGAAAACTCATTATGCAGTGGTCAAGGAACAGCAGGGATTCGGGTGCATTCAACCACTGAATACGAGGAATATACCATTTCAAAATCGGAAGCATACACAGTTAAATCCATAGATGTCTTCAGGAATTTTTAGTAGAAAATATGAAATTTCAACAAAATGTGTGTACCATGCTGTTTCAACTTGTCCTGCTCGAAAGGACACATTCACTTCCCTTTGCCCCTAGTGGTTCTTTAATGTAACTTACATTACATTCTTTTCGAGAACTTACATCAAATTTCTTGAGCTTTTTTGCTACCACTAATGGTACTTGTCACTCAAGTGTTTCAATAGACATATTCTCAGAGAGGATCCTCTCAGGCACAGGGATAAGTGCTAACCTTCATTCTTCTGAAAAACAAATGTAAAATGGTCAAGCCAAAAAACAGGACCACCTCTGGTAGGTCCTCAGAAGCATCAGGCCATGCTGTGGGGCGTTCCTAGAGGCAAACAGCACACATCCATGAGGAGCTCAGTGTGTAGTAAACAGATGCAGCCCATCTTTTTTATTTTCAATTTATTTGTCAATACGGCCAAGTTTAAAAAGTTCTGGAGTTGTGGCAGGCAAGTGGGTTACATTAAAGGTTCTGTTTGGAGGCAGAGAGATGGAAGATAAAGGATGTGCCTTTAAATTTCCCCTGAACTTGTTACTTTCCAACTCTAAAATGCTTTTGGCAAGAGAAAATAACACATAAGACAACTTCTGCTTATAGATGAAATATCAGAAACTGAATTTATCCTCCTGCTTAAACAAGAGGAAAACAGAACAAAACCTGTGACTGGTTTTCAGACATTAAACAACAGGCAGTGTGAGACTGTGATGTCAAGAAGATAGTCACTGGCTACAGTTGGTGAAAGCCATTTTCAGGCTGCAGGACAGGGAGGATGAATCCAAACACAGCCCAGCAGTTCTATTGAGTTGTAGAGTCAGAGACTAGAAATCAGAGAAGCCAAGGCAGCTAAAACTTGAGGGGCAGAGAAACCAGGAGCGAAAGGACTGTATATACAGAGAGAACTCCAGTATCTATAAAGGAAGGTCCTCAAGTATTTGGCTGAGTACTGATCTGCAATTGCAAAGAGGAAGGAGGAAGAGGAGGAGGAAGAAGAGGAGAAGGAGAAGAAATTGCCAGGATCGAGAAAAAGAATCACCGGCAGTGATACATAGAATAATTTCCAAAGCTTGTTCAGGGCTGGAAATAATTTGTACTCCACCAGGCAAAGTAGTTAACTGAAATCAATTAATCCTTTATGGTTTCAAGAAAACCCAGAACTTCCAGGTTATTTAATCTGGCTTGGTAAATCAGAAAGATCTCATAATATGGGGCATCGGGTAGGATCCACAAAAGGGTATTACCTTAACAACAAGATTAAATTAGATGTAGATTAAAGATTGCTGTGAAACTCCCCTAACAAAGTATAAAAGCAAATCAAAAAGAAAAGCTAATTCGAAGTCACTTAACAGTGCACAAAATCCAGCAAGTAACAGTATAACCTTCACAACATACAATATCTGATTTTTAAAAAATTACAAGGTATGAAAAGAAGCAAGAAAATGTGTTCTATAGCAATAGAAAATCAATACATGGAAACAAGCAAAGAAATAACAGAAATGATGGGACTAACAAACAAGAGTGTTATAACCAATAAATAATAATAAAAATTGGAAATGTATAGCTACTAAGTTAAAAGAAAAGATGAAATGAAACCATAAAAAAATTAATCTAGGCCGGGCATGGTGGCTCACACCTGTAATCCCAGCACTTTAGGCAGCTGAGATGGGAGGATTGCTTGAAGCAGTTTGAAACC